GAAAACATACAATAAGATTATTGAGGGGCTGGTTTGTCAGGAAGCAGCAGCCCAGGCTCTGGGAACGTGGGAGCCTTTCCTGACACCGCCATGGTGACCAAGGGTCGCGGAGGGATGCTTGTCTCCCCGTGAACAGGGCTGCCTGTGTCCGGTTCCTGAGACAGGCTGGGCAGCTCAGAAACGTCTTCATTTCCTAGTGACTGCTGCCACCGAGGCCGATCCAGTCAGACTCCCGGGGTCACGGCCTGGCTCCTCCTCAAAGCCCCAGGCTTCTGCCTCTTCCAGGGGTGAAGTGCTGGAAAACAGGGAACAGAAAAGCAGATACCCCAAAAGATTAGCTGGGAGCGACAGAGACCTACGGGCAGATGCCCTAAACAGCACCATGAGATAATACATGTGAAAGTGGTTTGAAAAATTCCGAGTGCTACAAAAATAAAAGCTAATACTATTTGTATATAATAGCAAGGCTTAGCGGATCCACAGTATGAGCACTGAACCGTGGATAAGCTGGTCCTTAAAAATAGAACCAAAAGTACTATCTTTTCTCAGTGCTCCTAATCCATAATTCAGCCTTGTGGAAATTCAGCTGGACTTTGTGATGTGTGACGGTTGGTAACATGCAAGTACAGTCAGAGACCTTGACTTTTTTTTGTTTTTTAAAGATCAGCACCTGAGCTAACATCTCTTGCCAATCTTTTTCTTCTTCTTCTCCCCCAAAGCCCCCCAGTACATAGTTGTATATTCTGGTTGTAGGTCCTTCTGGTTGTGCTATGTGGGACGCGGCCTCAGCATGGCCTGATGAGCAGTGCCATGTCCGTGCCCAGGATCCGAACCATTGAAATCCGGGCAGCCCAAGCAGAGCACACAAACCTAACCATTCAGCCACGGGCAGCCCCGAGACCTTCACTTCTTAACCTTGGTTGTGGTCAGATAAGAAATGAGAGAATAGAAAGTGGCATCTTTACATTAATTAGTTCACATTAATAGGCATTACTTTATAATTTTCAAAGCACTTTGTAGCCTCAGAACGGCATGAAATAGGTGGGGATTATTATATCTATTTTCCAGGCAAGGAAACTGAGGCTCGGGGAGGGGGCGTGGCTTGCCGCAGCTCACAGGGCTGATGAGCGCATCCACCACACTGTGCGGTCAGTGGCCTCTAGGTAGGTCTGTGGAAACATGGCAGGAAGTGATTCTAAACCCAGAAAGTTGAACACTTGAACTGCAGCACTGCAGCGGCCGAAACCCTTGCCCTGTTTGCGCCTCCCAACGAAGCTGAAAAGCGCGCCTGGGATGGGGCGTGTTTGACTTGCCTAAGTTACGTCTTACCTGCTGCAATTTCTCACCAGAGCCGCTTGCTCTTGAATAATCTGGACAAAGGAGAGCTTGCTCCAGGATCGGGTAATTGCAACATGGTAATGTTGAGCACACTCAGCACTTTCCACCTAGATGTTATCTCATTAACCTTCCCCGTGTCCCAGCGAGGCACGAGGCACGGGCTGCAGGCAATGTTGCTGTAGCCTCCGTTCTCTAGGAAAACAGTACTCCTCGGTCAGTGGTGTGTGTCCCGTGTGTCCCCGCCCACCCCGCCCCGCCCCTGGGATGAGGTCCTTCAGCTCTGCAGCTATTTTGCTGGGGTCATAGGCCCAAACCTGGGGTTTCTTTTCAAAGGAAATAACTGGAGTGCACGCAGCAAATACTCTCTATTGCTATACTCTGAGCACAGGTATTTAGAAGTCTCTTATTGCTATCAAAAGGGGTGTTTGCTCTTCTATGACACTGAATAATAAGTGCTTTTTAAATGTCTGTCGCTTAATCCTTACAACGTTGGAAGTAGGTATTACTATCCTCTTTTTATAGGAAGCTGAGGCTCTTCAAGATGAATACCTTGTCCACAGACACACTGGCATTAGGTGGCAGAGGAGGGTTTGTACCCGGGTCTGAGTGACTTCAAAGTCAAGATGTAAGAGGCCAGCATCCTGTCTAAGGGTGGTTCCATACTTTGACCTCACAAGATAAAAGGAAAGAATGAGGACCCAGATGACACAGTCTTGTTGGCACCAACTAACTCTACAGGCTTGCCTCCATCACTGCAAGCACCAAGGTCTAGCAGAGGGAAGGTGCCAAGTGAGAGGGAGAGGACAGCAGCGTCCCACACAGCTCCACGCAGCTCGTGGGTGGGCCTCTCATCTGAAGTCAGGAAGGTCTGAAGACCCACAGGCTGTTCCAGGGCTCCCCGGGCCGCTTGGGAGTGTGTGCCCTGGTGCAGCGAATTAGGCAAGGCATTAAAGGATTCTCAAAAACAAGGCTAAAGGACAAGAGAGGTGAGGCATTGGAGAATCCGTGCAAAGGAAGAGGAGAAGGGGGGCTGGGAGGGGACCCGCATCGGCTGCTGGTGTCTGTGTCAGCTCCTGCTCGTTCAGGACCAGCCCCGGGAGAAGAAGGCCTGGTGTGACCCAAAGAGTCCTTGTTGATTTGTGAAAGAGTGAGTTTCAAGACATAGAATCTGCATTTTAAGATTTGCCCTGCCAAGTTCAGAAGGAAAAGAAATGCCCCAGCAGCCGTCTCAGTGAAACGAGGTGGCGACGTGCACAGAATCAAATCAACAAGAACACGCCTTCAAAAACCGATTCTAATATGCCTTTACTGTATTTACATTAGCTTCTGGGGTTAGTGTGAGAGTCTTGCTAATAAGAGCTTTCATAGAAAATTGGTTGTAAGGGGAGAGGTAGCTATGGTCCCAGGTTAATTATGATCCATGCCGTAATTTCACAGCTAGTAAGTCAACTCACAATATCATTTGTGTGAGTAGTTCCTTGAACCCAGGCCTCGGACGCAGGAGCAGGTGGCCCTAACCTAAGCGGAGCCGCCCCACCCCTGCTGCCTGGTGGCTTGAACACCGTGTGTACTTTAGGATGTTGACTCAGATTTGGTCAGATAATCTGACCAAATCCAATACTCCTTTTTACATCCTTCCATGGAAAAGTGGATTCAGATTAGGATCAGCCTTACTAATAAACACTCTGGAAATAATCAGCCACCTTCCCAGAGGCTATATTTCTCATGCAGTGTCCTGGTTCCCGGCATGTGACTAATCCCAAAGCTCTGATAAGCAGTGTGTGTTCAACGTCAATTATCAACTGGGTGTCAGGCCTGATAGGGCTGAAACAGGTATTTCCGGCTTTGTCAGATCAAACTCAACCTAATGAATACTTTTGGAGGTCTGGGGCTGATTCCTCGTCTACTTAAACTTGAGTAGCTTCTCTTCTCTAAATTAGCATAGAATTTCAAACTTCAAGCAGTCATTTGGTTATTCCCAGTGTCTTAAGTAGGTGAATAATAAATTGCTCAAAGACCCATGGTTTCCATTCTCGTCTTTTTCCGAAGGGATGGATTCTCACCCTCGGTGGCCCACGCCAGGGTTTTATCATTCCTGCAGGCAAATTTTCCCTTAAATCCGGCCACAGTCTCTCCTGCTTTAATTCAATTTCCTCTTTCAGTTAGGTCTTCAGAAGTCATGGGGAATAATTGTTTGATATCCCTTCCATAAAGCCCTCCATGAACTTGAAAACAGCAACCAAGTTTACCCATAGGCTTCTCTACCATGAGGTAAAACCGGATTCCTTTTGACTTTCCATTTTGACTCTATTTCCCCCAATAGAGGGCTCCTAAATCCCGTCTGGTTTCTCCCCATTTTTATGAAGCGTGGCGGTGTACTGTGAGGATGCACTCAGGGGTTAACTATCTCTCAGTGAAGTCTGCAGGCAGCGCAGCTCCGGCCCCCCACGGAGCACACCACGGAGGAGGTCCCCGCAGTCTTCAGCAGGTTGGCGATGGCCCTCCATGTGTGGCCAGAAGCTCCCCGGCTGACTTAACTCTCAGACCTCATTGGCTAGGGTTGGGCCACAGGCCAGGGGATGGGAATGCCAGTCACCGTGGGTGCTCCCAACCCCAGCCCAACAAGAGGAGTCATTTCCTGAGCACATAGCTTGGTGGAGAGTGAACCTTCAAACAAAATCAGGGCTCTCCCGGCAACGATTAAGGGGGCAGGGGCTGTGATGGCTGTTGGGAGGGCAACCAGCTGTGTCTGCCACAGATGAGCAAAAAATTCTTCACACGGTTCAAAATATTAACAATAACACAACGAAACAAGTAATTACTGAGAACCCGCTAAGTGCCAGGTACGGTGAGAGCTGGCAGGCGCACAAGGATCAACACCACGTGGTCCTTGGCCGGCAGAGCCAGCAATCAAAGAGGGGAGAAGACACATCCCATATCATTTCAAAATCGTACAGTAAGGAATGAGAGAGAGGCACGCAGAGTGTTCTGGAGGCACAGAGAAGGAACCCATAGCGCGACCACGGGGTGTGATTCCTGAGGGGAGGCCAAGTGGACTAGCTGTAAATGCGGAGAATGAGTCAGGCTAGGAAAGCGAGATGGGAGGAAGTGCAAGGTATGCGACTGTTGATTTTCTAGTCTCTGCATAGTATTTTATGTTTTATTATTATGGCTCATCTAAAGTTGATGAAACAGAAAATCCTTTCAAGCCTGGAGGGTGGTGTGCATTTCAAGGGTCATTTCCCATGAGTTCATTTCTTCATATTTTGTGTCTGGATGAAATCCATTTTATGATCTGTGAATTCCATATTTAAACAAGGAAGCCACTCATCCAGTAGGAAACTGTGTGAGGGAGTGAAAATGAATGCAGTTCTGACAGTGATGATGTCACTGGCTCTGTAAATGGGCTTGTTTTTAGACATTAGGAGAAAATTTCAGTAATTTGGACTGAGGGGGAACCAGTCAGAAAGAGTGGCAGTCCATCACTTAGAATGGTCTTGTTACTTTCACTTGTGTGTGTCTTAAGCTAGAATAGCCAAGAGTTCCTTATGAGAAGTGTGTGTTAAACAGATAAGAATGATTTCCTTGGCATCTTCACTGTCTCCCCAAAGTGCCCCTCAGATGACAAGAGACTGGAAAACAAGCTGTTCTTTCCTCTTGTATTTTTTTTTACACGATTTATACTTTATTAGAAAAAAATTGTTTTAACAGACGTAAACTTTAGCTTGGTCTCTGTTGAGTTGTTAGAGAATAATGACCACGTAGAGAATAATTGCTTTTTAAGACCTTCTCAGACCCATCACTGGAGTTCTGTATTGTGTGAGAACGCCATTCTCCTCTTCTAAATCTATAAGAAAAAGAGAATATTCCAGTAGACAGTCAGGCAAAAGTCATGAGCAGGCAATACAGAGCAGCAAATCATATAAAATAAGTTAGATTCCTTAATAATCAAAGAAATGGAAGTTAAAGCAAGATGTCACTAATCAAATCAGCAGAAGTTTTGGAAAAAGATAAATCAATAAATAAAGGCTTAATGACCAGGGCTGATGAGAGTGTGGAAAAGTGAGCATTAATGTTCTTTCCGTACAGAGATGTATGTATAAGAATGTTTATTCTAGTGCTGTTTGTTTAGTACAGAATTTTTAAACAGCTTAAATGTCCATTAACAGAGAACTGATTAATTAAATAATGGTATATTCATGCAATGGATTACCACACATCTGTTAAAAAGAATGAGAAATATCTGTGTATACTGGTTCTTTAAAAGTTGAAGATGTGTTATGTAAACAAAATAAGGTATAGAACAAAGTAAAAGTTATCTATTTGCACTTATCTGGAAATATTAGTGATCACACTTTCTGGAGGGGTGTGGGGGACGCTGTTACATGGTGACTGTGATTACCTTCGGGGAAAAGGACTAGCGGCAAAGGAGGAAGAATTGCACTTCTCACTTTATATCTTTCTGTGTGGTTTGAATCTGTGCAAGAATTGCTTTATTTTAAAACATGAAATGTGTTTTTTTAAAAAAAGAATAGGTTACATCTTCATGGTTTGACATGGGAAAATATCTGCAATATAAGAAGATAAAGAGCAGGTACAGAATAATCAGAATATTATGACCCTGTTAATGATTCTGCTTCTATAGAGATGTGGATGTGGACCTATAGTTTTGAAAAGCCTAGAAGGAAGTGCCCTGCCATCAGTGTGGCTGCCCCCTAGAGAGAGTACAGAAGTGTTGAGATGGCAGAAACCTTCTCTTTCTCTGTACTGTTTAATTTTGTACAGTGCTAGTGAATTATCAGAAAGAAAAACATAAATTTTTCCTATCCCGTCCTCCCCGTCCGTTCTGCATGAAGCGCTCTGCCTGCTCGATTGCAAAGACAAGGCTTTGGCACAGTCTCTCCCCTCGCTCTTCTAAGCTTACCCTCCACTATGTGCCTTTTGTTTGTTTATTTTTTATTTATTTATTTTCCCTAAAGATTGGCACCTGAGCTAACATCTGTTGCTGATCTTCTTTTTTTTAATTTTTTTTTCTTGAGGAAGATTAGCCCTGAGCTAACTGCTGCCAATCCTCCTCTTTTTTTTGCTGAGGAAGACTGGCCCTGAGCTAACATCTGTGCTCATCTTCCTCTACTTTCTATGTGGGACGCCGACCACAGCATGGCTTTTGCCAAGTGGTGCCATGTCTGTGCCCGGGATCCTAACTGGTGAACCCCAGGCCTCCAAGAAGTGGAATGTGCGCACTTAACCACTGCGTCACGGGGCTGGCCCCTAATCTTCTTTTTTTTTTTCTTCCTCTTCTTCTTCTCCCCAAAAGCCCCTCAATACATAGTTGTATATTTTAGTCGTAGGTCCCTCCGGTTGTGCCATGTGGGACGCCGCCTCAGCATGGCCTGATGAGCAATGCCATGGCCGAGCCCGGGGTCCAAACCAGTGAAACCCTGGGCTGCTGAAGCAGAGCGCGCAAACTTAACCACTCGGCCACGGGGCCGGCCCCCCAGCCATCTCCCTTTTAAATCCTACCTGCGAGGGAAGATTTGTAGTCAGAGTGGGACAGGTGAGAGATAGCTCCTCTGATCCATCTGATCTACCCAGCCTTACCCAACTAGAAAAACTGGAAAATAAAAATAAGAAACAGAACATTCAAACAAGACGCTGGAAACTAGTCCAACCCGTAAATGAAATCCACATGTAGTGTACCACCAGTTTGTGCAAGGAGCTGGCCGCAACTGAAGGGAGGGGAGCCACGGGCTGGAGCCCCCGGCCCTGGTGCCCCCAGAGACCACCTGGGGGGCCCCCCACTCTTTGAACCTCGTCATTTTTCTCACGTGCTCTTCATACGTGTTGCGCTGACTTAGGAGGCTGACATGAGAATTGGCTGGGGCAGGAGAAGAGCTATGGAAATGAAAGGTGATTAATCGCGTCAATGTGTAAGCCCTGGAGGACGAGAACTGTATTGGGTTTGTTATGACTATTATCCAGAAAATTAGGAGAAACTAAGATGTTCATTAACCCAAATATGCTCTGATTGAATAAAGAAAATGCTATGACAATCCAATCCCAACAACTACTCTTTTCAATTACTTTTCATCTTAGGATCTCAAAACACTTAAATGTCACTTTCAGTCTTATATCATGACTGTACAATAATGAGTGTGAATTGCTATTGGGCAACCAACAGTACCTGTGTTGACACATTTTCCAGCACTTCCCCCTCCGTCAGTGGTGAGGGTAAGTTTTTATCCCGGGTGAGAGCCACTATTACAGAAAGGGAGGGCAGCTCAGATGAGTCCCTGTGCTGGAGGAGAGCTTAGAAAAGAGAAACCTCGGCTCAAAGTCCAAATCAGATTCCCACTTCTTTCAGGGAAACCGGAAGAGGAGGTTGAGCAGGCCTGCGCAAGGGGAAGTGGCCAAGCAGAAGTTTCTAAAGCCCCACCACTGTTTAACCTATCCAGCCGCTTTGCTTTGCCATTTGTTTGAATCTTGTTATTGCTCTAGTTACAGAACTTCCACATGCCGACCCACAGAACAAGAGAGAGTAGTCTTTGTTGTAAGTTGAGAAAATATTTAAACATCAAGGTAGGCTATGGTTTTTGGCTGAATTGTGTCCTCCAAAATAGATATATTGAAGTCCTAACCTCCAAACCTTAGAACGGGACTTTATTTGCAAATAAGGTCTTTGCAGATTTCATCAAGTTAAAATGAGGCCATTTGGGTGGGTCCTAATCCAACATGGCTAGTGTTCTTATAAAATGGGAAAATTTAAATACGGAGACACACACAGAGGGAAGAAGATGTGAAGACACAGGGAGAACACTGTGAAAGGACAGTGGATTGGAGCGAGGTGTCTACAAGACAAGGAGCGCCTGAGGCTACCGGAAGCGGGACAGAGACGAGGAACAGATCCTTCCCCAGCACCGTCCCAGGGAGACGGCCTGCCAACACCTTCATTTTGGACTTCTGGCCCTGAGAACTGAGACAATAGGTTTCCATTTATTCAGTAGGCATCCACTCAGTTTGTGAGGCTTTGTGATGGCAGCCCAGGAAACCAACACGTCTACTCAAGTCACATGTCCTTGACAATGGTCAGAAAGGGGAGTAAGAGCGAAACCTCTGGCTATTCCAGAATGGGATGTTTGTGTGACAAAATGAGTCATAGGAGTTCATGGCTTTTCGATTGTGGTGGTGGGTTTTTCCAGGAACTCAGCCTTGAGATAGTTCTCTTCCTGCAGAATGTAGAGAGCCAGGAACCCCTCCCTCTGCGGCGGGGCAGAGAGCAGAGTGCAGAGCCCAGGCCAGGCTGGCAGGGAGCCTGCCGCCTAACGTGGACCACTGCTCGGCTCTGTGGAGCCGCTGACACTACGCCCGCAGCTGCTTGAAGCCCAACCTTTTACCGAATGGAGACAAAGACCACGACAGGGCTCCCAAAGGCGATGAAAGCCCTGAGACCAGGCAGTGGCCCCTCTAACACCCATCATGGAGACCGAAATCGGGGCCACGAGGCTTTGCAAACAAGACAGAACCTGAAAATCTCAAGAATACCAGGAACTGGGCCCTATCTGGCCAAGGATTTTTCTGTTCTTATTTTATTTTTGCTTCTTGTTTCTTTTTATTTTATTTTAAAACTTCCTTAGAGGGGAAAAATTAGCACTAAAATTGGAACCCCAGTGAATGATTTTTGAATGAATATTTGTGAAATATAATTTATCACTGGGTGTGTTATTCTATCGTATGGATTCAGTTCTCAGCTCCTCCTTTTGTTATCTTTTTGAAGCCAGGAAATCAAAGCAAAAATCCTCGGATGTTAATAAAAAGAGGGCCTTGGACCAAGAGGTCCCCACACGGCGGTACCCCTACTGTGGGCAGACCCCTGGGCCTGAAGCCGCCTTACCAGGAAGGACTCCTGGCTGCCTGGGGCCGCTCAGACCCAGCCGCAGTCTGTGCGGGGTTGGACCGAGGCCTCCATCCTGAGCCTTTGTGTCTTCATCGATCCTTAGACCCAGCTCTTCTGCCTCTGTCTAAAGAGTGGGCCAGAATGGGAGGGGACGACGGGCTGACATCAGAGAGGATCCTAGTCAACAATGTTACAAATTTAGGGTAATTTCCTCTATTTACCTCACCCTCCCCCAAAAAGAGACTTCTTTTGTCAAAAGAAAAAAACATGCGCAAAGTGCAGGTTTATTGTTGTTTTGAAGAATTTGAACACTGAGGGTTTTCCCTGGGACTCACTTTCAAAATCAACAAAAATGACACCTGCCTGAAAAGGAAAAATGGAGTCAGCTCTGTCATCATTCTTCCTCAGCAGGCTCCAAAGTGAGGAAGACAGTGGCTCCTTGGTCCCCGCTGCCCCCACACTGGCCCCTGCACAGTACTTCAGGTCCCAACCAGCAGCGTCCGCCCGGGGTTGGGAAGGGACGGAAGAAAGGTCACGGGGTTTGTACATTTGGTTGTCTTACTACTACTGAGCTGGTAAAATTGTTTTTCTGAGAGCTTCTTGTTCATCTGGTTTTTAAATACTTATTATGCTGCTTTTTTTTTTTCTCTGAAGGGTAAGAGAGAAGCAAACTTTCCACCGTGTTAGCTGTCACGGATTTTTCCTCCGCTGTACGACTGAGTGGCGGCAAGGCAGTTCCAAAAGGCGTGATTTATTTATAAACATATCTGGAAATATTTTAAAAACAAAAATGCTAAGGGTGGGGCTGGGTCATGGCCAAGTCATGAGAAGTAAGATGTTTATTCTGGAGGTTGGCATCAGCACCCTCCCACTGGTAGTTTTAAAGTAATTTAGGGTCAAGCAGAAACATTCTGATGATTACACTTACCTTCAGTGTTAGATTCCAGAGAGGGTGGACTCTAGCTTGCTGGGGAGCTGAGCGGAGCTGCTCCATGCTTTAAGTACAATCCTGTTTTGTAGGGTTTCTGAGAGGAATGCTGACGGGTGGTATTTAAAGAACAGCTGGCCAGGCCCAAGCCCTCACCTTTATCTCCTCCTGCTTCCTCCCCTTTGTGTGGCCTCGTTCCCTCACTGGGACACAGGCAGACAGGCGGAGACTGTCCGACAGACAGACGGGATGGGGAAGTCACGAACAAGACCCAACATGCCCTTCCCAGGTTCACTCACCACCTTTCCATTCTCTCTTTCTGTTCTGTCTTTTCTATTCCATTCTGTCGGGAGTGTTTCTTCAATTGCTCTAAGTGGGTAGGGAGAGGATGTCTGGTCGGTCAAAGGGCATTGAGATGGGAACAGGAGAATCAAGGAGAGGAAATAAGGGGCCAGAGATAAAGAAATAAGAGCTAGGAGAAGAGAAATAAATAGAAACAAAGATGATGAATAATACCAGGTACAGAACAGACAGGGAGCAAAATGAAAAAGGAGTGAGACACGGAGATTGTCCTGCAGAAAGAAACAATTCAAAAATAGGAAAATGTGGGAAACCTGAACACAAACAAACTTAGAAGCCCGTCCAGGAAAGGAAAGAACCAAATGGAAGTAAGAAATAGAATCCCAAACAGGAAGGGTGTCTGAGTGAGAAATGCGATGGCGGGAAGGAACAGAACAGCCTTTGTGGTGTTTCTGCAGATTAGAGGGAAGACGACAGAACAGAGGGAACCCAGGAGCGTTTATTCCTTGCACCTGGCAAACGAAAATTCACTATTTTTTAATCATGGAAGAAATATCTCTAAGAGCAGCGGGCCTTTCATGCTATGGACCTGTCTCTCATTCATCCGAGTCTCTCAGGACTCTTTTAAAAGTGTGAAAAAACCCAGCACGAGGAAAAGCACGTTTCCACCCAGATGACTTTTATATAAAGTTTATTTTAAAGATCTTTTTTTAAGACTTTATCTTTCCTTTTTCTCCCGAAGGTCCCCCAGTACACAGTAGCATAGTTTTAGTCATGGGTCCTTCTACTTGCGGCATGTGGGACGCCGCCTCAGCATGGCCTGATGAGCGGTGCCAGGTCTGTGCCCAGGACTCGAACCTGCGAAACCCTAGGCTGCAGAAGCGGAGTGCACGAACTTAACCACTAGGCCATGGGTCTGGCCCATATAGAGTTTATTTTAGAAAGATAACTTCTTGCAGTCCTTAAAGTTCAATCTGGGTTACCTGCCCCTGGTGGTGAATGATCCTGAGCTTTTTAGACCCTATAAATCCCAGGATAAATGACAAAAATATCTTGGTCCCTTAAAAAATAGGGATAAAAAATGAAATAATTATTTCCATGACTCCCATTTCAGAAGGCTGCCTTACAACTACTAAGTTAGAGGTTGCCTTGTAAGTTTAAATAATTTAACAAATGGAGTAATAAAAAAATGTAAGTAAAGCATAAACTAATAAACACAACACATACCCCGAAGTAAAGATTGGTTATTTCATTACTGCAAATTGCTGTTACTAAACATTATGACAAATTACCAAAAAGAGGCCTGTCCGCCCCCTTCTATAATTTCAGGTTATTAATTTTATTCACATGCAAGCAATGTTTTCCGTGTATGCCTCTCTTGCTCTGTTTCTCTAATGAGGAAACAGAAGAAAAAAAAATGGAGTAGATAAAACGCTCAAATTGGAGCTGAAGCAAATGAAAAAAGATATCAGAAACAAATAACATTATCAGCGTTTAGCCCCCTAATAAGCTCTTATTTATTTAGGCCCTATTAATCTGGAATTTATAATAACTTGATTGGGATCTGGGCAGAAATTTTCCTTCATTTAGCAAACCTGTCTCGCTAAGTGGTGCAGAAGAATGATATAAATGAGATTACAAGGGGAATGTTTGAAATACATCTTTGAGCACTTCAGGCGATCTCTTATATATGAATAATTAATATAAGAATACATATCATTCTTATCCAATAATGCTCTGGTAATTCAGAAGGAATTTGTTAGGTCACCCTGCAGAGTAGGGAGATGTGGGTTTATCACTAAACAGCCCTGTGACCACAGGCAAGGCACTTAACTTTTTCAGCCTTTTTTTTTTCTGACCTGTAAATTTAGGCCGATAATATCAACTCTGCCTAGTTCGAGGGGGTTGTTATGAGCATGAAATGAGAGGATGGGTGGGAATTCATTTTGAAATCCATAAGGTACTAGGAAAATCTCTTTTATTTAAAATGAATTTAAAATTCATACTTTTCACTGATTCAATCTGACCATCTTTCCAATAGTTTACACCAGTGAGGTTTTTTCTTTATACAGCTTCAGTGAAAAGAAATTCCCTAATGAATTAGTGTGTGTGTGTGTGTGTGTGTAAGTGACACACACACATATACATAAACACACACACATATGGATATAAACATTTCTCTCTCTTTCCACCACCCCCACCTCTAACAGATCTTTGGAGTCATTCTTGGTATTCTGAGTACACTAAGTCTACTTAACATGGCACAACTGAAGAAAGCTGTTGTGTGCACTTGAAAGATTCCAGGTGTTGGAGTCTGACAGGCTTGGGTTCAAATTCAGGATCTTCCACATAGATGAGTTAGCCTCCACAGTGATCCCTCCGAGTCCCAGTTTCTTTGTCTGTAAAAATGGCTAATAATACCAATTGTATGGGACTTTTTATAAAGACCGGGAGAGACAAGCACACGGCACAGAGTAGGCACTTCAAAGTGATGATGATGGTTAATA